CAATGATATCATGTGTGATGATTTACCGAGCAATGACGACGACAGGGCTTTTTTTTATATTGCAGGGGTATGCCATTCCCCCCCAGGGGGTAATACTGATGAGCCGCGGCGTCGTACAATCATGGGGGTGGCTCAGGTCGTTGACCACCGGGGGGCTTGGATTCGATGGGTTTGGCATGTGTTTTGATTGTTTTACTCCTGCGTAAATATCACTTGCCGTCGTCTCTTTTTAACCTAGGGTTTCCCTCTGCCCCGTCCCTATTGCCGGTCCTCACTGTCATATTCTGTGGCTGCCACTAGGTGGGGGGCACGATGGAGAGGAGCGAGAGGTTGGGTGGGGGATAGGGGGAGGAGATAGGACAATTAATAAGGGATGGGCAGAACTCTGGTTGGCGAAATGGCAGTGGGAAGAATATGCATGGCAGATGTGTGATAATACTAATAATAACAAGAATGAAATATATCGCGGATGTTGCTATCCTCATAAAACAATCTTGTGAGACTGATCTTCGCCGGGTGAATAGCTTACGATAAGGGAGGGTAGGCAGACGGCCTCCACTGGAGGAAAATGTGAATCATGGAGCTGGGCAGCGGCCTTATGTACGGAGGGGGCCTAGGGTTTGCTTTGCACGGTTATGACTGTGAGGAATTAAGATGATCGTAGGAGAGTTTGCCACCCTCCCCATTGCTAGATCTTCATATATGTTGTGACCTGGGTGATAATTGGGTGGACATTCAATCCCCTCGAGAGAGGGCAATCAATGTTGTTCCACCAGTAACTATATCGTCTTCAATCTTGTCAGTGGGACGTTGAACCCGGTTTCCAGCAGGTGATGCTCCCCACCAATAGATTGGAACCATCTATAAACTGGGGCTTGCTATTCTAGGATGCTCGTATCGCCTTCAATAGCATGTTGCCATAGATGTTTCAGTTAAACCACTAGTACCTCCGAGCCTGTTTTTGCCGAGCCTGAATTACAGTGCGCACCGGAATTTGCTGAACCTGTGTCCCGCGACACTTTTCGGTTTTCTTTTTGTTTTTGTCTTTTCGTTTTGCTGCGTTTTCACTTGTGACGTAGTCCGCCTCTGGTAGTGTCCAACAAACGGACAAACGTTAGGGCGGGGTCCCTGCGGCTTGAGACATTGTGCAAGGCGTGGAGTATTTTTTTTGTTTTTTTTTCTTGTATTTTTTTTCTTGTATTTTTTTTCTTGTATATTTTTTCTTGTATTTTTTTTCTTGTATTTTTTTTCTTTTTGTCCGGCCTGTGAGGGGCATGTCGGTTCACCGGCGACCGGTACTGCGAATCGGAGGGCGGTGGTCTTCCTCACGTGGGGCGACAGACGGATGACGACGGTTGCCATCGCCAGCGGCGCGTCCCGACCTCGCACACGCGAGTGCGTGTGTGTGTGTGGATGCGTGGGGGTGGGGGGGGCTGGGGGGGGGGGGGGGGGTGGGGAGACTGACTCCCCAATCTGTGAAGGCCGATCGCTGTGGCGGATGACATCATGTCTTCCCGGCAATTGGCTGTCGTATGTGCATGCCAAGAGGTTCACACATGCGTCACACCGAGTCGTTGTCTGTGTCTGTCTGTCTCTCTCTCTCTTGTGCGCGCATGCACGCACGTCAGGGGCGTGTATATTAAAGTGATGTCGCTGTCATAGATGTCAACTTCAACATCGAAACGACAGCTTCGACGTTGCAGCTGACATCCATCGCAACGACGAGCGGTTAGTGTCCTCTCTCTCTCTCTCTCTCTCTCTCTCTCTCTCTCTCTCTCTCTCTCTCTCT